TTTAAATATATAAACAAGTAAAATTAAAAAAAATACAATTATAGCCATATATTTAAAAGCAATAAAATAAAAATTACTTAAAATAAAGGACTAAATTATAGTAAAATTAAAATTAAAAACCTAATTCATAATTAATCAGAATTACAGGGATTGAACATGCTATTTTCTTATTTAATAATTTAGTGACTAAAATAAACTTATTTAAAATTCGAATATAAGATTAAAATAAATTAAAAATATAAACTAGGGATTAAAATATTATTTATTAAAAATTAAGGGATTAAATTTGTTATTTATCCTAAATATATTATTTTAATATAAAGGACTAAAATAAATGAAATTAAAATTAAAGATCTGAATTAAAAGTATTATAAACTCGATTTAGTGACTAGAATGTAAAAATTACAAATTGGAATGGCTTCGGACGGGGTTTAACTATTATTTAATTACACGCATAGTCCTTCCCGAAACGACGTCGTTCGGGAAGGCTATTTAATGCCCAAACCCGGCTGGCCCGAAGGGCCAGCTTCATTTCTTTATTTTTCCTCTCTCTCTCTTCTCTGAGAGAGAGAATTTTTCTCTCGCTTCTCTCTAGAAAAGAGAGAAGCTCTCCGGCCGGCAACCGCTTGCCGGCGTGGATCCCGCCGCCGGCCACCGTCTTCGGTGGCCGGAATAATTTTTTTTTACATTGAAACGTAGATCGGACCGTCCTAATGACGGTTCCGATGATCTTTTCTTTTAAACAGCTCCCGATCGGAGCAAATCTAAGAAATATACCTTCGGTTTTTCGAAGGTTTTGATGAGATCCGGTGGTCGGGGCTTCCTCGGTAAGTTTCTCTTCTTCCTTTTTCTTTCTTTTCTGTTTCTTTGCTGCGTTGTTGTTGAGATCGTTGGTAGCTTTTTTTTTTTTAGTATCTTGTTTCTCTGTCTCTCTCTGTGTATTTTCTGTCTCTCCTCCTGTTTTTTTTTTGCTCGCAGATGGGGTGATGGCTTTATAGCCATCACCGGTGTGGCCATCGGACCGGTCCGAAGAGCGGATTTCGGTGAGTCACCGAACTATGTGGTGACTCACTGCTAGAGTAGCAACGTGGGTGGCCATCTGGGTCTTCTGGAGGCTTCGATGGAGGCGTGGCACTGGCAGCAGAAGCGGCTGGAAGCTGGACCGTTGGCTGAGGCGGCTGGAGGCAGAGGCAGCTGGAGGCAGAGGCGGCTGGACATGGGGCTAGGGTTAGAAAACCCTAACTGAAACCCTAAATGTTTTGGGTTTCAGTTTGGTTTGGGCCAGAAAATTGGGCTTGTAATTTTTTATTATTATTTATATATATATTTAATAATAATAATAATAATAATAATAATAATAATAATAATAATAATAATAATAATTATAATTATAATTATAATAATAATAAATAAATCAATATGGGTAAAAAAAAATTAGTATCTTCAATCATCAACTCTAAAGATTGTTAAAATTGTGACACCACTTTATGTTGACAATTCTCTAAATTAATAACATTAGAATTTCTATTTTAATATATATATGTATGAAATAATTTTTTTTACTGAAAATAATGTTATAACAATTGTCTTTGTAGCATAGTGGTAGTGCATTCGTTTCGTGAGCAAAAGGTTGTGAGTTCAAACATCATAAAGGGCTTATTAAATAATTTCATTACCTCTAAATTCTTAGGTAATAAATAATTCCCACTACTTTTGATAAAAATACCCCTAAAATAATAAATTATTTTCATATGGATCATTCTCAATTCTTATTCTTCGTACTTTACTCAAAATTATAAACATAATAATAATATACAAAGAGTTTGATTTCGTTAAATTATTTTATAATTTCAATATTTAATATATTAACCGTTTTATAATTTTATGAGGTGAATGATATTATTGTAAAAACGTAATTATTTAAAATAACTTTTAATTTTGATTTATTAAAAATGAATTTTATACATTGAAAAATAATATCTTTGTCCACTCGAGATCAAAATATTATTTTTATATTATATTATATTATATTTTATATAAATAATGGTACTTATGAAAATTATTTAAAAATATAAGTTTGATATACTAATTATATTAATTATATATTAAATATATTTTTTCTTAAAAGTTAGATAATGTAACAATTAAAATATTTTTATGTACTTTTATTCAAATATTTATAATTTAATATTAAAGTTTAACTTTTTGAAAAAAAAAACATAAATCACATTGGATAATTTGGTAAAATGTGCATCAAGTAATCTTATATTCTTTCAACTAAACATTGTAATCTTACATTCATGTTAAACAAACAAAACAAGGTAATACAACATTTCCATGGTAATGTTACATTCAGTAATCTTATTCACAAAGGTAATCTTAGAATATTTTCTTAGGATGATGCTACTAGCTCGACGAGTACGGATGAGAACCGTTAATGATGAGCACCATTAAATTAATTTATATAAAGTTAAATTATAAAATATTAAACGTATAATTATAAATTAGTTAAAAATCTAAATGTAATTTAATTAAAATACAATATTTATAAAACATTTGTTTTTAGGGTAAACTATACCATTGATCACCTAACTATTTACCTCTTTTACTTTAACCACCGATTTTTCAATTTTATCAATCGTGACATCTAACTATTTAAATCTTGTCAATCAAGCCACCTGCCGTTAAATATTAATGGAGGAGATGGCGTGACAGTCAATAAAATTTGTATAATTACACATTTAGTCTTCATTACTTACAAATTCTATTAATTTGGTCTTAACTTTTATTTAATTCAATAAATTTAATCAATCTGATGGTGACATGTGTCATTGTGTGATTGGATTTTTAATATTTTTATTTAATTAATTTAATCCTCAGTCTGATGGTGACATGTGTCACCAATTGAATGAATGGAAAATAAATTTAATCAGTAACCACCGATGGTGGGGTTTGAACCTAGGATATAAGCCGAAAAATTGTGCGCCCTAATCACTAAATTGGACCACTAAATTTGTTTAGTATAGAGAACATAATCTATATAATTTATAATATAGTTAAGGGTAATAAATGACCTTACAAGAACTCAAAAATGAAATAATTGAATAGTATGAAAATATAAAATATATATAAACAAATATTATAATTAATTAATGAATGAATATTTTTTATTTATATTTTAAATCATATTTAATGCAAAATTAAAATAAAAGTGAATTTAATATGTTATAATTGAAATGTATCATTTTACATATTTTAAATTAATAATTTGTCTTCATTATTTTAATTTTATTAAACTGAAATGTATAATATCTTATATTTTAAAATATTATAATGTCAATCGGATTCTAATATTATTTAACAACTTTATATTAAAATAGACTAATTCAATAAAATCAAGTTTCCTCTAAAATTTTCTTCAAATATATAATGAATAAATAATAAAATATAAAATTCTTACTTTAACTAGGATATAAACAAGTCAATGCATAAGTTAAAATGCTTATTACGATAAGCCCTCAACTATCAAGAAAATTCTAAGTAAACGAAGCTCTTCATTATATTTTAATTATAATATATTAAAATTTTTTTTATTTTTATTTTTTCATTAAAATGATTTAAAATATAAATAAAATACATTCACATATTAATCAGTTATAATATTTGTGTATATATATCTTATTATCGTATTATTCAATTATTCCATGCTGGAGTTCTTATTAGGTCATTTTCCCTTTTTTTTTTGCCATTAACTATATATATTATGTAGTGATAAGTTTGGTATTTGAATTGTGCAGTCCAGTGGTTGGGGTGTTTTTTTTCCTTTCATCGCGTCTTGGGTTCAAACCCCATCAGCAGCGGTTATTGATTCAATTTATTTTCTATTCATTCAATTGGTAACACGTAACACCATTTGATTTGATGAAAATTTTATTAAATTAAATAAAACTATTAAGAAAAAATTCCAATCACATAGTGACACATGTCACAATCTGATTGAGGATTCAATTTATTGAATTAATTAAAAGTTAAGACAAAATTATTAGAATGTGTAAGTAATGATGATTAAATGTGTAATTATACAAAATTTTGTAAACTGCCACGTCATATCCTCTGTTAATATTTAACAATAGGTGGTTTGATTGACAAGATAGAAATAGTTAGGTGACCCGATTGAAAAAATTGAAAAATGAATTGTTAAAGTAAAAGCGGTAAATAGTTAGGTGGTCAATGTTGTAGTTTACCCTAAAAACTAATGTTTTATAAATTTTGTACTTTAAATTACATTTAAATTTTTAACTAATTTATAATCATATGTTTAGTATTTTATAATTTAATATTTTATAAATTAATTTAATGGTGTTCATCGCTTATCCATGGTCAATGAACGTTGTATAATTTTTCATTTTCTTATTATGATTTTGGTGACATAGAAAGATGAAAAAAATTAATGTCAATTTAACGATCTAATTACTATTTTGTTATATTTAAGTTAATTCGATAAAAAAATAAAAGTTTGAGAAACAAAATATATGAAATAAACTTTATCAAAACAATATAAAATAATCATTAGAACTTATCGAATTATTACAAAAATAACTTTTACACGTATGAAAATTCATTGTTAATTTATAATATATAAGAACTAGTTTATAATAATTTAATAAATTTAACAAAATTTTATAACTTTTAAAAAGTTAATAACCAAAAAATTATTTATAATATAATTTAGTAATATTTATGTATTTTACTTTAAAATTATTTAAAATATTTAATAAATTTAACAAAATTTTATAACTTTTAAAATATTAGAATTTATAAGGGGGAAAATTGAAGTATCTGACATAGAATCTGCTTACAATGAATGTATATCCCTTATATGGGTGTTTATCTGGACAGAAGTTGGCTGGTTTTCCATTCCACCACCATCAACGAATCTTGTTCATTCTTTGAATACACTTATTATATCAATTGAGGCACTGTATTTTGTGATGAAATTTCTATGGCAGATCTTCAACATTCTTCATCTTCCCCTCTGCAATTTCAATTCTGTAAATATTTTTACTTTCATGCTCCATTAGCGAACCACCTCTTGTGCAGCTGTCGAAGAACAAGCAGCTCACGACAGTGTCAAGAACAAGAACCATGGAGTACAAATAAGCAATCAAAATGCCTTCCGATACCATCGAAAACCAGCTGAAATCATCACTACCATAAGCTCTCACGATCCGATAATGAAACAGTGCTTCAATGGCCGCCACTGCGAGACTTAAAGGCAAAGCCAATGATAAAGCAGTCGAGGTTCTTCCTTTGATAACAACACAAGCTTTTAGAATCGACAGATATCCACCGGACTTGTCCATTCCCGATGAAACCAATGCAATGTTTGAAATTACGAAAGCATTCGCCAGAACCAGAGAGTAAAAAACAGCCCCGAAAGCTGACATTAGATGAAGCCAATTAGGGGAAGAGAATCCCAACCCATCAATCAAATTGAACCCGAAGAACAAAACAGAGAAAGCCGTTGCATTCGCTGAGATGATTAACAAGAAATTACAGATTTGGGTTTCGAGGAGAGGCCTGTAAAGTGAAATAACCGATGAAAACAGACAAGGTTTCTTCGAGCTTCTCCTATGGCGGAAACAGAGTTCGATAACGGTGGCCTTGGCTACGAGGAAGAAAGAGAGCGTGAAAGGAAGTGCGAAAACGGAGAAAAAGATGGTTTGGGAAAGTTTTAAACTGAGAATCGTGAAGAAATCTGATGAAGAAGGAAACCCAGAAGCTTGAAAAAGATCATCGAGACGGGCATGGATTGATTGAAGCAAAGAAGAAGGTGGAACGAAGATTTGCGAAAGAAGAAGTGAAACAGAGTAAGGGAAAGCAAGAAGCGCAGGTGCTATAGTGAACAAGTGGTAATTTTGAAGGAAAGTGAAGATTGATCTTCTCATAATGCTGCTTGATTTCTCCATTTCAGTTCTCGGGGTATCCTCCATTGATGAGAGAAAGAACGTATGTGCAAGCAAAGCCGTGACGCATGCCCCTTTTATTCAAGCTTTTCTCTTTGAAATGCTTGGTGGTTTTGGAAATGAAAAGATTGAGCAACAACTACAATGCTAATAAATTTGCAGAGATGGAGTTGTTTATAACAATCAGATTCTTTGGGTTTTCCAATCTTTATATTCTCCAATTACCTATTGTAACTAACAACTCATGGAAAAATAAATAAATATTCTATAATTAAACTTGAATATGATCAACCATTTTTATTATTAAATATATTTTATATTAATCTCAAAACTATAATATATATTTTGAATCGATCTATAAACTTTAAAATATTTTATATCAGCCTTCAAAATACCAATGATATTTTGGTTTGATCCTTTCGTTAATGTGAGTTAACTTCACTGGTTAAAAAAATTAATCTATTTTTGAAGGTCGCGAGAATTGAACTCATGGCATTCTAAAAATATTCCACGACTTTCAAAAATAAATTAAATTCTCGTGACATTACAAAATAAATTATAATTTTTTTAGAATGACACAGATTCAATTCACATGATTTCAAACAACCAATATAGTTAACATCATGTTAACGAAAAGATTGAAATAGAATGATATTAGTGGTTTGAGTGCTGATATAGAATGTTTTAGAGTTTAAGGATCAATTTAAAATGGAATGTAATTTAGAGATTAATATAGATCAATTTAAAATAAAAGTCATAATTTACGGATCTATTATATAATTATCTCTATTTTAAAATAAATATTATGCTAATATTTATATATGTTTTAATTAAATTTGAATAAAAATTATTTTAAGTTATTTAAATTATATTCTAATCATGTAGTCCTTAAACTAAATTTTTGTATATACATTCAAATGAATCGAACCAGACGAGTCACCAATTATTCAATTATTAAGTACAATTTTACATTCGGTAAACCTATTAAAAATATTTATTTTATAGTTTGTATTTGGTGTTTGTGATTCTTCTTATTAACAAAGTCATTTTTAAAATTTGAATTTGAGTATTATGTTTAAATGTATAACGTGTCTTATCATTACATTAAGACACTTATTAATACGATCTGGATTAGTCGGTACCAGTGATTAATTCACAAAAAGTATGAGAAATATTATATATATATATATATATATATATGTGGCTTGATCTGACTCCCTACTAAAGTAATTGTTTAATTAAAACCAACAATAAAACTCATTATTATAGGCATTAATGCAAGTCTACTTCCTATTTACACAATCTTTAATGGTTCTTCAATCATATGATATTTCATTCTTTTCATTGAGCTCTCAATTCCTCAATCATATAAAACATGCTATATAGTTATGTTTGTGAAATTAAAATATTATATCAGACTAAATTAATTTAAATAAATTCATGTCAGAAAAATAATTTTTAATTGAATATCTTTAAAAAGTAAAAATAAAACTTGTTTACTCAAAGGGCTTAAAACACAATTCTAGCAAACGTTCAATAGATACATAATTATAATGAGAGGAAGAGAAGGCAAACAATGCAAAGGCTGAGATGGGTTAGGTCCATGGGTCCCCCAAGGTATTTGTTTATGAGATTGGTGCGCTGTCGTTTTGACCATTGATTAGTTTGTTAGGGAAGTACCATATCCTCACAATAACAACAATAATAAGAGCAAACTACACTAGATACCACTAAACTTTAGACGTTGTATCGTTTGTACCATTAAACTTTTGATTTTGTCAATTATGGCACTAAACTTTGATTTTTGTTTCAATTATACCACTGAGTCTTTAAATCGTTAACAGCTAGATCAAAACGACGTCGTTTTGATGAGATGGTGTAATTGAAAAGAAAACCAAAGTGCAGTGATATAATTGGCAAAATTGAAAGTTCAATGGTGTAATCGATATAACACATAAAGTTCGGTGATAACTATTGTAGTTTACCCTAATAATAAATAATGATTTAAGCTTAAAAGAGTAGTTGTTTAAGTTGGAAGGAATGCATATAATAAAGGGGAAGTATTAAGTGACTTCCTAACTACAAAATTATATCCCAAGTTGGTTATCAAGTCAATTCCAAGTGTTATCTACCTACTTTCTTGGTTAAATTTAGACTATTTTATGCATTGAGTATTTAGAAAATTTTCTTTTTTCCGGTAAATTATATTGTTTAAAGTTTTTCACGTTAAATCAATGTATTTTTCTTTATTTTTTATTGTTTTATAATCGTTTATTATTATTTATCATAACAAATAATTAAAAGAGTTTAAAGATACACAAAGTTTTAAGATATGTGGATGATAATGTAATACAAAAAAAGATTCATATAATGTTACTCTGTGTGATCTTTATGTTTATAGCGAATTCTTGTTTCTCTCATTCATAGAAGTAGGTAAGATCGAATCATGTTACATTTTACGTCTTATTGTATGTTGATCTCGTTTTTAGTTACCTTTTTATTTGTAAATTCATAACACATTTAATTTTTGTCATATTCATAACATGGGTAAACAAAAAAAAAGTATGCTAAAAATGTGCTTATAAAAAAAATATTTAAGAATAAAGATTTGTATTTGTTTATCTCGTATTTAAATCTTAAAATAATATTTTTATATTTTTTATTTAAAGATTAATATATATATATATATTAATCATCTTTCAAATGAATAACATCTTAGTTTTTTTATCAATGGAATTGGTGTTAAGTAAATTGAGTTGGGTCGTCGAGTTAGCACCTAAATTATTTATAATCTTTTAAACTCTTAAATTAAAAAAAACAATTACACTACACGAACCAAGTTACATCAGTGGTTAAAGAAATTATTATTATTCCTAGAGGTCTCAGATTCGAACACCCGAGAGTATAAGACTAAGAGCATTTGAGCTTTCATTATAAAATCTGCTTACATCTATCCTTCAATCAATACCCATTCAACAAGGTTATATTCTTTCTTCATGTCGATCTTTATTGCCTCCCTTTCAATCAAATTGGCTATCACAATGTTATCATGAATCTGTCTACCATTCATAAACACCTAATTCCCTTTGATTTACCCATCTAAAATCTCGTGCTTTAAACTCTAAATCAGTCCATTTACATTCCTCTAACAAACCACTTGAACCTTCAATAACATTCCCTTTATCCAACAATTGTTCATTAAATCTCTTAGAGCCATGTGATCGAAATTATTTTTTATCATATTGAATATGAACATGAAAAACTCTTTTAAAATGAAGGTTAAAATGAGGATTTGTGGCGGTAGACGGAGGCACGGAGCGATTCAGTCCGTATAAAATTGTACTTTTCTGTTGGGGCACTGACGAGAAGTAGAAAATTTAATTTGAATAGATTTCTTCGTATGCAAGTTTCCTTTATAAACAAGAAACTTATCCCTATAAATAAATACTATAAATCTATTTTCTCCTTGTCACAAGTTTCTTCCTTGTTTGTTTAGCAGCGTCCACCACAACCACCAAAGCTCTCCAATTTTGCACACCACTGCAGGTTTCATCAAGTGTGTTGGTTAACTAAAAGATTAATGGAACAACAAAGAACAAAAAAAAAAAACATGCATGCTGGCCAAAGGCTACTTGTCTTTCTCTCGATCATCTTCGTCTCTAACTGCCTTGGTTCTATAAACCAAAGAAATGATTAACATTTGTAATTAGGAAGCGTGTTAATCACAGTAATTGCCTCAGTAGAAAACTTGAGAAATGTAGAGTAGAAACGGGGGCTGTACTCACCGCACCTGTTAGTAAATCAGAAAGTGGATGTCTGGCCAGAAAAATTCTTTCTTCACTATCACCGGTGTAAAAGTTAAAAAGATAATTACCTAGTATTGTGAAACGACTTAGCAGCTATATAAATTATATGGTCGAAACAGGGGAATTATACTTAAAACTCAAGCTCAAGTTGTTTTGAAAGATCAAAGTTGAATGAAAGAAGGAAGGATATGTATATATTTTAATAAATTTTCTCCAATATCGCATTCAAAGTGAATAAATAGATCCCATCCAAACAAAGGAATGGAAGATAATGTACTTGTTCAACTCTTTCCAATTCAAATGTGGATATTATCCATGTCACGTGGCTGTCTTTAAAGTATCCAAGTGTGGATATTATCCATGTAACGTGGCTGTCTTTAAAGTATCCAAGTGTGGATATTATCCATGTAACGTGGCTGTCTTTAAACTATTCAAATGTTGATATTATCCATGTAACGTTGCCCATCTATGCATGAACTCCCCACTCTTTAATCAAGACTAAATCTCAAATTTATATATAATGAAGGGATCAGAATTATAATTTCACCATTCTTAAATATGTAGATTAGAGTTGAAAGTTGAATTACCGAGATAAACTATGGAAACATTAGAAAATAATTCAAAATGTCATGAGAATTGAGTACGTCAAAAATGCATAAATATGTTAAAATATCTAATAGATTATTAACATGTAAACATGGTTTTCAGAACCGGACCGGTTAGCGAACCGGTCATGCTATCGGTTCACTGGTTCAACCGGTCGAATCGGTCCGACCGGTCAGAAGAATCGGACGACGTCATAATTATTTAAAAAATTAAATAAAAATACCAAAAATATTTAATCAAAAATAATTTTTTATATCACAAGTCATATTCAAAGCAAGTCATAACATATATAAGTTAAAAACCATAAAATCAAGTGAAACAAAATGATTCAAATTAACTACAACATAATATTTAAGGTAAAACATATTAAATAATAAATATAATTATATAACTATAATTAAAAAATAAATTTGGGGTTAAAAAAATCATAACAAAATGATATTGTTTGGTTTAATTTTTTTTAAACAATCTCACATGGCTAAGAAACATAGAAGAGCATCCCAAAAGTCTAAAGAGTAAAAATACGAGAACAAAACAATCTCACATTGCTAAGAAGCATAGAAGCGCATCACAACTAACTTCTATAAATAATAGAGGTAATTTGGCATTCAAAATCATGGAGCCTTTTAGTGAGCATTGAGTGAACTATTCTTTCACTTCAATCAAGCTCGAATTTTAGGCTTCAATCGAGCTTCTATTTTTTTTGAGTTCAAGTTTCAATATTATATTTCGAGTTTGAGTTGAACGTGATAATTTTTAGCTTGTGAGTTTGAGTTGAGTTGAGCTTACTTTTAAAGTTTTCAAGTTCAAGTTGAGCTCAGCAATACTCGAGTTCGACTTGGCTCGTTTAACAAACGACGTTGTTTGATTTAATTTTTTTTTAAAAAAAAACAAAAATCCCGATTTTCCCTGGTTTTTTCCGGTTTTCAGCCGGTCCGGTTCGAACAGTTCAACGGTTCTGGCCGGTTCACTAATAGCGGTTCAACCGGTTTAGATTGAACCAGACTAAGTAACGGTTTCCGGTTGAACCGGCCGATCCGGTCCGGTTTTCAAAACAGAGCATGTAAAAAACTATAATATTTTATACATAGAAAATAATTGGAACCTGATACAAACATTTAATATTTTAATATATAAGTTATTCTTTTGATGAAATCGTAATCGTAACTTGCAAAATACGATATAATATACAAAAATACTATTAACGTAACACAAACAAGTAAAAATGTTGAAATCTAAAAAATAAAATTATAAACTATTATGTATAAAATTGATAATATTTTAAAATTATAAAAAAAATTAAACATATACAAAAAATAACATAACACGTATCCATTTAAAAATTTGAATCCCGTCTAATTTAATTTAATTTCCACTTATTTTTTAAGTTTTATAAAATAATTATTGTAATAAAAATATAAGGATTATTATAATTTTTTATAGGTTTAAGTATAGTGATGGTCATTGAACATTTCTGAAGCTTGCATTTAGGTCCCCCAACTTTTAAAACTTGCAATACAATCCCCAATATTTATTCCGTTTGCAATATAGTCCCCAAACTTAAACCACTATTAGAAAATTAGGGTAAATTATATAAATGGTCATTGAACTTTTCAGGCACTTGAATTTAGGTCCTTCAACTTTTAAAACTTACAAAATAGTCCTCAATTTCATTCTAAACCCCAAATTCTAAAGTAATTCAATTTTATTCTAAATCCTAAATTCTAAAATAATTTAATTAAATTCTAAACCCCCAAATTCTAAAATACTTCAATTTAAGGTTTAGAATGTAATTGAATTATTTTGAAATTTAAGGTTTAGAATGAAATTGAATTACTTTGGAATTTTGAGCATGAATTTACTATTTGACAGTATCATGTTCGTGTCGCCAGAATAAAACACGACATTGATACACTACAATTTTTGCAATAATAACAACCTTTGCATTCAGTATTCAATAAATTTTAATCAGAAACTAGACATATTTTGGAATGTTATGGTAATCTCTAATTTGCCTAACCTCATACGTAAGCGTACCACCTGAAGCATCCGGCTGACGAACTGTAACACTAGAAATTACTCCGTTAGCGGATAGGATGCAAATGGCTCTTAGTCCTTGTTGAGAAAACCAATGTTTTTAAAACCGGACCGGACATTGAACCGGTGAAGGTACTGGTTCACTGGTTCAACCGCGGTTGAACCGGATTTTATATAAAATAATATTTTTTAATTTTACATAATATTCAAAGCAATATTAATATATATGTAACACTTTTTTTAAGTTTACAATATTAAAAGGTATAAAAATATCACAAGTCATAACATATATAAATTAAAAACCATAAAATCAAGTGAAACAAAATGATTCAATTCAACTACAACATAATATTTAAGGTAAAACATATTAAATAATAAATATAATTATATAACTATAATCAAAAAAATAAAATTGGGGCTTAAAAAATCATAATAAATGATGTCATTTGGTTTAATTAAAAAAAATAATCACACATGGCTAAGAAACATAGAAGAGCATCCCAAAAGTTTAAAGAGTAAAAATATGAGAACAAAACAATCCCACATGTCTAAGAAACATAGAAGAGCATCTCAACTTACTTCTATAAATAATAGAAGTAATTTGACATTCAAAATCATGGAGCCTTTCGGTGAGCACAGAGCGAACTATTCTTTCGCTTCAATTGAGCTCAAATTTTAGACTTCAATCGAACTTATATTTTTTTTTGAGTTTGAGCCTTTTCGAGTTCAAGTTTTAATATTATATTTCGAGATCGAGTTGAAATTGATAATTTTTAGCTCGTGAGTTTTTGAGTTGAGCTTACTTTTAAAGTTTTCGAGTTCGAGTCGAACTCAGCAATACTCGAATTTGACTCGGCTCGTTAAACAAACGACGTCGTTTGGTTTAATTTTTTTTAAAAGAAAAAAAGTGAACCGGCGGTTCAAATCGGTTTTGCCGGTTTTCACTCGATTTACCCCGGTTTTACCGGTTTTTAGCCGGTTCATTGCCATACCGGTTTTGTGAGGTAACCGGACTGGACAGGCCACTGGTTCAAGGTTCAACCGGTTGAACCGGCCGGTCCGGTTTTGATAACCATGGAGAAAACGACATCACCTTCATTGTTACATCCTTAAACACCAAAGAAAATCAAGATGATGAAAATAATTTAGATTCATTGATAAGTGAAAAAGAAACCTTCTTTGACATCAATCTCATAGTTCAAGAATCATATAACGATGATAGGAATGAATCATAAGATTGTTTGCTTAGATAATTAACAAAACCGTCTCTTTCCCGTATTGGAACATACCTCGCTGGGATTGACAGTGATGATATGCGGCGTAAAATTTGTTCCGACAGAAGTCCCAACCAAGTCACCTATAAAACAATATGTAAACATGGAATTTTGCTGCTAAAAGTACAAAAATTATTTGCTGATATACACCAATCATTCCCGGAACCAACATTGTTCTTCCAAATCCGAGCAACGACATTTTTAATAAATCCCCATGAAATCACAAATTGAACTTAGTTTGAGGCATACCATGAAGAAACAGAAATCAAAAAATTATCAAATCTATAACATGGCAAAATTTGAAACGGAAAACAGCTTGCAAAAACCTAAACTAAAAGAAACAAACTTTCTTCGAAAGAGTGACCTTCATTACCTAAGTTCTCCATCTCCATTCCCTTATGATGTTTAATCTGATAACCACTGCCTCGGCCTTTCCCCTGCTTTCCACCACTTGAGAACTCACCCGAAACCGGCAGGATGAAGGACGAAATAGACATAGGTGACAATGCCCTTGTCATTGTCCCATCTGGTCCATATTTCCTAGGCCTACCTCTTTTCTTCTTCTCTGTACTGCCAGTTAACCCATCGCTAACTAGCAGAACATTGACAACCGTTATTCCACCAACGATCTGGTCGGCATTTTCAGTCCTTGGTGCCATATGACAAGCTGATGGAGCTTCTGCTCCTATCACTGTAAAACCTGAATTTGTTTCCATGCATATATTGTAAACCAAAACTATGCACTATAACTATATAATAATTGCAGATTCAAGGCCAAACTACCTATAAAATAGAAATTCATCAATCAAAAACCACACATATATATATATTCTCAAAAAGGGGAAAATTAAGTCTAAGGCTTTTTTTGGGGTGCTAAAAACCTCTAAATACAAAGATCACCTGAAAGAAAAATAAAATAAAGAGCATGCAAAGATACAAGTGAAACTGCTAATACTTAAAGCTCAACTTTTTGTTTAGTTCACAGATCAGTTCCTTAACCCATATTAAAAAAAACTAAATTTTGAAAATATACACCAAAACAAATTACAGACATAATAACCTAAGAAATATTTCCCTATCTTTTCAAGCATTCAGTTTCATCTAGAAGAAAGAAAGAAAAGAATCATTAAAGCATGAATTTTCCTTTTCACAAAAGAAAAAAAGTATATTAAGAAAACTTTGAAGTTAACAGATGTTTACATGTAGAGATTTGAGCAGCTAAATATTGCTACCGAGCTTGGACTTTGAGCAACTAAAAATTTCATAACAAAATGTAATATTGTTTCTATTATCATTTGCATCAATTTACATTCAAATGTTACCATATATCATTGTATATGGTTTGACAACCATACCATATTGACTAAGCCACTATGCATATACAAAAAATGACCATATATCGTGGTATATGTTTTGGCAACCATACCATATTGCCTAAGTCACTATGCCATATACAAAAAATGACACTAAAGATGGCACTTTACATTTATCAACACAAAAAATGATATGTAACATCTATCAACTCAAAAAATGGAAGTTAACATCTATCAACACATATTGAAACTCTTGTCAACATCCATCAACATTATTTGGTTTGAAACTAGAAATTGATTCTTGTGAATCCTGCATCACTGTATTTTCAGAGGGAGAAGGTGATTGCAACATCCATCTAACATGGTATGGAGTTGGTTGTTGTTGAGGTGGTGGGATTTGTCCTCCTACAGCCGTTTCAATCTTCTTCCTTTGAACAAATGTTGATATAGACTTGGTTGTTATTGAGGTGGTGAGAAGTGAGACTTGGGTAATTGCTGCTGAAGGCCTCCTAAACTGTAAATACCAATATGTGATAGTTGTTAGTTAAAGGAAATAATAGAGATTGTGGAGAATTAAATATTGACTGGTAATTTTGGTACTATGGCAGCAGTGAAATGTGGAGCAGTTGAAGATAATGGAAACTGTGGAGGTGGACCAATTGAGGCTGCTGGATGTGTTGTTGCTGAAGGAAGTGGTGTGTTAAGCCTAGAATTACCTCTGACCTGACCTCTACATGTCCTTATGTTGTGGCATACTTTACCATATTTCTTGCACTTAATTTATAGGGTCCTTTGCCCCCTACTAGGACCATTTTGTTGTTCGTCAATAACCTTTTTCCTTTGTTTTTTAGGCCTACCAGGTGGCCTCCTCTGAATTGGAGGAAGTATTAGCTCCATTGATGGGACAGGTTCCCACTGATTGACTCATCGGATAGGGTATATAAAGTTAGAATACAACTGGATTTGAGTCGACCTATGGTATCAATTGTCAACATAGTTATCTGGTCTCTCTTGAATCAATAACATCACTGAGACATCATGTGCACATGGGATCCCTGTTGAGAAACATAAATATACAACACCATCAAACATCATGTACACAATATGACCCTAACATAAATATCAAATACCATCAAAACAACTAATAAAAATACATAAATTGTAAAAAAACCAACTAAAGGAAATGGTACAAGAAAACTAAGGAACACAAGATTATAGTATATCGACATGTATTCTACAGATGCAATCAATGGTACCCGATGCAATAAAAGAACGATAATCACAAACTAGAAGGCAGTACCATAATTCTAAATCTTAAAAATTACAAATGAATTGTACGAATGGATTATAACATAATTCTCTTACGACAACTTTCCCGAAGACCTAGCTTCCAATAGTTACTCTTTAAAAAAAATATTTATAATCAATTACTTCGAACAAATTAACTTTATGAGCGTACGCATCAACATCTTCGACTAATAAATGTCACATAATTTTCAACTTTATAGAGAAAACATAAGAAAAAAAGGTTAATCCAGAACGATCAATAGCTAAATTTAGAGATGCGAATTCCAATTTCTTAACAAGCTAAAAGAATAATTCAAACCGCATCAAAATTTCATATATTACCCAGAAAAAATAGAAAAGTCTAGAAATTATCTATTTTGACAATAAAGAGAGAATAATGTTATGATGTAAAAAACAACAGAGAGTTTTATCTGAAAGAAAGTTGAAAAGAAGAAGAAGGAATTACCCTTTCCTTTTTCCCCTTTAAAAACTGAATATCCCGCTTGCTATGAAAGATTAAGCAAAACCAGAAGCTAAAACGTTGACAGGAAACTTATTGGATTACGAATTTATGTTGTGTGTTCATAGATTATGATGCCTCAAACATTAGTTTTAGCATTTGTAATCGAAGTTAAGAAATAAACAACAACTAAAAATATCAAATAAACATCAAGTAATTAAAGTCTAAAAAGCATAAAGTAATACCTGTAAGACCCCATTTCCTACAAGAACAGTCTCTAACTTTTAGATCCACAACATGTTGGTCAGATGGACCAAATGCAACTTCAAATCTTAGACCCCCAGTATGTGATGGCCAACACCTAACAGCTTGCCTAATTAATGTGTCCACCTTCTTTTGAATTTTAGGACAAAGTAAACCAGAAGACTTCCAAATATCTTCTCCATTTTTAGAAATTCTATGCATCATCTTCGTACGAATAATCTCCATCATGGTCAAGATGGGCTTATCCCTTGCCTCCAGAATCATCTTGTAATATAAAAGGGTCAAAAGACATTAGTAAGATCAAAATAACATTGAATTTACAGTAAATAAATTTTGAAATTATATATACCTTATTGAAAAATTCTGAAAAGTTGTTTAATAAGAGGTCACATTTTGACCTTGTGGAAAAATGAGATTTAGACCATATGGCAGCATCTTTTGACTTTAACCAGTTACAAGCGTCCTCTGACATCCCTCTTATTTCTGACATGGCTCTATCAAAATCCCTCACAGTAGTTGCCCTTGCAGCTTTCCACAAAGTATCTTTCAATGCTTTTCCTTTATAGCCCTCCACATTCTTAAAATTTGAGTATAAATGCCTAACACAAGTTCTGTATTCAGCATTAAGATATAATTCCAGAATTGAGTCAACAAGTCCCGGCCACATTTCAAAACCAGCACAACCAATAAATATCAAGATCCATAAATAACAAATAAATGGCAAATAAACAATAAGTACAATCAATAAATAGCAAATAAATTATAAGAGCAACGTAAGGATGAGTGGCAACAAGGGGATTGGGGTTAATCTGATTTCCAGTTTTTTCATCATATGAAAATACATACGACACTGCTTGCATTGTAAGGAGTCGCATATCAACCTCGTTTTCTTTTAGAAATCAGTTTCAGCTAAGACTTGTGCAACATATTTTGTTGGAACAATGATGTAAACCTTCTTTTTATAGCTGGTTTTGAATACTAAAAAATATGGCCTCTTCCTACAAAAAATAAATAAATGATAAACTTTTACCTTTTGTTTATCAGACATAAATGTGACATGATGAGAGTTGACCATGTCCAAGTATTCTCCCAATAATTGCAGGAACCATTGCCAACTATCACGATTTTCAGATTCCACAACTGTCGCGGCTATGGGATAAATGCAATCATTTGCATCAATTCCCACAGCAGCCAATATGTAACCCTGGTAATAACCCTTCAGAAAACATCCATCAAGAGAAATGAAGGGTCTACAGTGATTCTTAAACCCTAGTTTGCAACCCTGCAAACACACGTACAACCTAACGAAGAGTCTGTTGTCTAACTTGCATATTGTGGTTGTACCAGGATTTGAGTGTCTCACTTCTCCTAGGTATTCATATATTTTGCTATATTATTCTGTAAAACAACCTAAGACATTTTCTACAGCCAATTTCCTAGCCCTAGAACATTTTGCTAAACACACATACGTTTCATAAGCTTCTTTAATATCTTGTTGTAGTGAGACAATTGAATACTTGAGGTCAGTCTTAAATTTTGCAAAAAAAGTTTCGGCAATCCACTTGGCAGATATCAACCTTTGATTTCTTATGCCTCTTTGACAATTATGTTCATCATTAATTGTCTTAATCTGTCATATGTCATCATTAGGATCCTTAGGGTTCAACTTAGATGCCCATAATACCCAAGAACAACTCCATTTACTACACACAACATGCACTCTTCGGTTATCATTCTTCTTAAATGACATGCTAAACCTTTCAACCCTTCTATACTGCCTAATTGCATCTCTTAAGATTTCTTTAGTAGCAAATATGAGGTTTTTCTTTAAACTAGGGCATGCCATATCTTTCTCAGTATTAAACTCAGGAAATCTTTGTTTTTTACTATGATCAGTGCTATCATAAGAAGAAGCACTATACAATGACTCTGTATCATTATGACTATCAGAAGAAACACAAACTAATGCAGATTGATTAGGCATAAATCCTAGGTTTTCTTGTACACTACTAGTCACAAATATTACGTCATCTTCTTCAACTGTATCATACGCATCATTTTCACTATCCACAAAGTCAGATTCAGACCTTTCATGCTCAGATGGCCAATAATCATAACCTTCAGATTCTGATATTTCATTGTGAACTTTTTCTGTCAAGTAGAAGTAAATTGAAAAAAAACGTAAGTTAAACTAAAAAAGAAAATAAAACAGTATGCATAATAGGACTACGACACGTAAAAGGAAAAGAAACATACCCCACCATTCAATCAAAAAAATCATTGAATACAACTCAATCAAAACATAAAAAAAAACTCACCGAATACAACTCAATCAAAACATCATAAATATTTTCACTAAAAATTTTCATGTTAACCAAGATTTAAACTTAAATCTATAAATTTTCAAAATTTTATATAATATAGATTGTTTTTAACTCAAATTTCATTTGAAAATATAACTTGTAAATATAAAATATTTTTAATCAAATTTTATATAAAAACATATAATACCCAAAATATAATTATAATACAAAAGGATACATAATCTCAACACTAAATTACATGTGAATGTCAAGCAGGGGTATGTATAATTTATAAATGTAAATAGTATACATAATTTCAAAATCAACCTAAACTCGAAATTCGGATAAAAATCCGAATAGCTCGAGAGACTCGAGTCAAATAACTTAAATTTTTTTAAAAAATCAAAATTTTCTAATCAAGTTTTACTCACTCTCCGACTTCAAATTATAAATCAAATACAAGCTTGAACATGCAAAAAATTTCAGTACCCCATAAACTACTAAAACAACAGCGCTGTAGCAGCTTTGTTTAATCGTTGATGAAAATAATAGAGCAACAAGGAAAATGAGCAAGAAACAACGATATCAGAACATTTAAATATTAAACACGAAATCAAACAGAAAAATAAGTAATTGCAGGTTCGATAACAAAACCTAGCATTTTGAAAATGGGAGGCAAAACCCTTTTCATTATCATATAAATAAAAAAATGATCATAGGTATTTTCTTGCGTCTACACAAGCTAACAGAAGAGGAACCTGTCGTTTGCCATGAAATAGATATTCAAGAATATCGCAAAAATGAAAAATAAAACAACACATACCTCATTTTTTGAAGAGACAAAATGAATAAAAAAATCACATAATAAAAAACTAAAAAAAAGGAAAAGAATTTTAAGATTTAGATAGCAGAGAAGAGAGGATGGATTTGGGAACTTACAAAAGAGCAGAAGTAAAACATAAAAAAAAAATTCACTGAATACAACTCAATCAAAACATTATAAATATTTTCACTAAAAAATTTCATGTTAACCAAGATTTAAACTTAAATCTATAAATTTTCAAAATAAAAAAAAATTATATGGCATTTGTAATCTAAACATCAAAGAAACTTTGAAATACATCAAAAAGAAAAACTTATCGTTTGCCATAGTTGAACAAGCATTCGATCGACTCCTTTTCTCCCTCATTTTTAATCCTCCAACAATCAATACTCTTAAAAATAATCCTAACCCTAAAAACCCCAAAATAAACCTAATCTACATTTTTTGGAAATTTTTTTCATCAACTTGTCGTTGATTTGAGTTTAAAACCCATTTATCTTTTCCCAAATGTTATACGGTGCCGTTAATGTTCTTTTATTTTTTTTTGGGTGAACTACACATATCATCACTCAACTTTCTTATATATCATAGTTCAGTCACTCAAGTTTTAAAAATTGGGGGACCTAAATTCAAGTGCCTGAAAAGTTCAATGACCGTGTATATAATTTACCCTAATTTTCTAATGGTGGTTTAAGTTGGGGACCATATTTCAAACGGAATAAATGTTGGGGGACAATATTGCAAACAGAATAAATGTTAGAAGACTGTATTGCAAGTTTTAAAAGTTGGGATACCTAAATCAAGCTTCAAAAATGTTCAGTGACCATTACTATACTTTACCCTTTTTTATAAAAGTAAATTAAGTTAAGTGATGCACGTGCAGCCACCACTGACCAAAATCCAGCACGCGCTAATAGAGCTTACTCACTTGCGTCCACAAAACACAACCGGATTCTACCGTGAAACAATGACCCAATAAAAAGAACCCACGTGTAAATACCTTTTAAGTCCACAGCCCCGTGAATGCGCCAATAATACGATAACACTAAAGCACTAGCTAGATTGGATCTCCTTTACATATAAAATCCGTCCCTTGCTCGACAAGATTACACTTCTTAGAAACAAAGGATTTTATTTGTAGAAAATCGAAAAGGATGCTCTGCAGCTTCTCTTCAGATTCGTTTCGATATCATTGTTTTCCCGGCTGATACTTCCGTTTTTTTTCTGTATTTTTTTACCTCCCCAACCTTTTCTTTTAGTTTTGTTACAATGTCCGGCGAGACGGTATCGTCTTCCGGAATCAGCTTGGAAGGGATTGATGATGTGGAAGATTACGTTTGGGTAAGTACTTTCTGTAGTCACTAGGACTGTTTGGATGCTGAGAAACGTAGGAAAAAGCGGCCGAACACTGAATAGCATGCTTTTTTTTTTTGTTTTTTCAATGTATACATATTTTATTTGGATCTAACCAGGAGACTTTTAGTATAAAAAAATTCAACAACTGAATTTAGCATATAAAGCAAGTTAAAATTTACTTACTTATTCTTTTGAATAGCAGCGCGTAAAATCTTAGTATTCAACAAAATTGATCTTTTTTTAGGGCTGAAAAAACAAGAGTATATGTGTTATTTTTCTGACGAACTCTATAGTTTTACAATTTTTTGTAAGAAATTAGAGGGCCAAGAGTTAAAGCTATAATCAACTTTATGTAATTTTTTCTGCATTTCTTGGAGAGAAACAGTTGTATTAATGTCGTTTTTGTTCTATTCCTCTTAAATTGTTTATTTTGATTTGTGGTTATCTTTGAATTGTTTGGTAGCTGAAAACAATATGTGAAAAGAACATAAATTTGGTCTGTCTTATTTATTTGTTTCCTCTTTCACCGTCTGTTTGGTTGATGAGAATTCCTAGGAAACTAACATAGAAATTGAATTTGTCATGTACTTTCTCTATAAATCTGTTGCTTTTAACTGGAAAAATGTATTAACTTTATTGTCATATTAAATATTGGTCAAAGTAATAGAAAAAGGTCTATTATTGATTTTAATGGAGTAATGACTGTAATATCCAAAAAATAAAAAGTGATGATCTGTCCCTTTGGTGTTTGCATTTTGTTTGCAAACATTGATAATTATAGGAGTTGAGGCTTTGTTTTATCTTTGTTTGCAAGTTATTTATGAAAAATATACTCTAGGTATTGTGCATATTTTTTGTGGTGAGTTTTTGGTTTAATATGTATTTCTGAATGTAATGAAAATTGACTGAAGTAGGCCAACGAAGGAGTGGGATTATGGGACCAATATCGTCATGTTTATGATAATGTGGAGAATGGAAACCAAGCATTTCGACAGAATCATTTTGAGGAGGTAACATTTCCCTTTTCTTAATGGCACATTTTATTTTTATTGCTTTTGTTCATCCCGTTGATGGTTTATAAAATTTGTTTCATCTAGTATGGAAGTTTTCTTCTGTGAGTTTCTTTGCATTTAAACTAAGATATCCCTAGTAAGGTACCTTAATCTCTTTGCGTGAAAGTGGAAATGCAAAATCAAATAGTTTGAAGGGGTTTCATGTAGTTTTTGTCTTTGGGTACAATTGTCGAAATATTAACTTGTGCCTCTATGTAGTTGTAAATGCCTCACATTTCTAAGGTTACATATTGCTGCTATAGAAAAATTAGATTTCCAAAAGTTTCAGAAAGAAGATTGGTAAAGCTGCTTGGACTCAAATATTTAACTCGTGAGTATCTAGCATTATTATTGCTACATTCCTGTGTTTTTGGGGGGTGGGAGGTGGAGGGCATTAACTATTATGACTTATTCATATCTATTTTACACCCCACCCTCCGAAAAAAGTAAAAGGGAGAAAATAGCATATATCTGAAATTTACCTAGATCAGGTTCTTAAACTGCAGATATGTTAAGTGTCATGGTTTGTCATTTTTTAGGTATCTTTCTTATTATCATTTGGAACTGGTGAGTTGTGTAAATATTTGCATATTGACACTGAAAGTTTGCTAATAAAGTTTTAACAAGTATTATGTCTATATACTTTTCTTCTTCTTCATTCCTTTACTCATAAATAGTTTAATTCATGTAGGCAATCAGCAATTACACAAGGGCCAATAACATGAAACCTGGTGATCCCATTATTCTTGGTAACAGAAGTGCTGCCTACATGAGGTTAGCTTTTGTCAATGGTTATTGTCATTATATTGAAGAGAAGTCTGCATAAATAGATGACATACAAGCATAAGCATGTGTATATACTATTCTTTTTAATCCCATTTTGTGGCATTCTTTTAACAATATCTGTTCTACCTACTCAATCATGGTTGAAATTCGTGGCCATTCTTGTGCAGGATTAGTCAATTTCTGAAAGATAGATCTCCAACTGCTTCTGAATATAGACCATTGAGTGGGCTGGATATAACAACACTTGCTGAAGTATGCTTGTTGCAGTACATTTTGTATTTTGAATTATATCACCATTACATGCATTTTGAAAGATTGAAACTTTTGGGCATGTATTTCAGCTTGCTCTTAAGGATGCTGAGAAGCTAATGAGTTTGCAGAACAATGCAGTGAGGTCCTACATCTTAAAGGCCAATGCTCTCATTTTGGTAAGTGATAGATTGCATTACATTATTTTCTGGGATCAATATTATACAAAAGCGTCCAAGATAAAGTCGCATGGCCCTCTCCATTACATTTCATTATACTTAATTTATACATGCACACACAAATATGACTGCTGTTTTGGTTTCTCTAGCATTTTTATTTTATTTATGATTTTTGATCATTTAGTTTAGACATGCACAAACAAAAAAGGTCCCGGCTAAAAGTCCTATGATCCTCTATATGTACATCTAACTATGCTTAATTTAAGTTAAAAAAAACTATGCTTAATTTACACTTGCACGTGCATATGCCTATGATCTCTTTGTTTCCTCAGTACCTGATGTTTTACCATGCAGTTAGAAAGATATGATATAGCACGGGATATTATTCTTTCTGGCCTTCAAATTGATCCTTTCAGGTAGTTTATGATATATTTATATTTGACATCAATTGATTAGTCTTGTGAATCTGAATGAAAATTTTCCTGGCAATACTTAGTAACATTCTCCAGGCTTCTCTTCGGAGCTTGGAGAGAAAGCCATCCAGTTTCATGCGGACTAAAGACCATGACGGGCCAGAACGTACTGATGACTTTGATTGCACACTTTGTCTGAAGTTACTATATGAGCCAATAACAACACCATGCGGGCATTCTTTCTGTCATTCATGTTTGTTTCAGACAATGGATCGTAGTGAGTAATTGTGGTTGTTGATTCTGATTATAGCAGTGCCTTCTTTTTATCACCATTCTATTACCTGATATTGCACTAAAATGATAGGCAACAAATGTCCATTGTGCCGAACAGTGCTCTTCATCAGTCCTAGAACATGTGCCATCAGGTAAACTTCTCCCCAGCAGTTATTGATTGAAGTACTTTTCTTAGAATGATGAGAGGGATCGTGAACTCCATCGGATGCTGTTTGTACCTATCTCATGTAAATAGTTGAGATGCACAAACTACTAATGGCTCCTATTTAATGACTAGTTTAATATTTCCCTTTTACTTGGAGGCTGCTGTTCTCTTATATTTAAGTACTGGTCATATCCGCATAAAGGTTCATGCTTACTGAGCATGGGATTTTCTTGTATCTTGAGTGTTCTGCTAATTGCTAATTGCTAATTTTCTTTTTTATTTTATCAAAGGTTTCAATACAGCTTTATCAAGGTTTCTATTTGTTTGATTATTAATTGCATTACTTGTTTGATAGTGTAACGCTAAACAACATCATACAAAGGATCTTTCCTCAAGAATATGCTGAAAGAAGGTCAGAACAGGACAGTCTGATAAATTTTGGTAATGATCTGATACCACTTTTCGTCATGGATGTTGTCATCCCTTGTCAGAAGTTTCCGCTCCACATATTTGAACCACGCTACAGACTTATGGTTAGTTTCATACTCTCTAATCTTAATTTTGTATTATAAAAAAAGAAAGAAAGAAATTTGGGTATGTTATGGCTGTTTACATCCAAAACTAGGTTAGCAGTGCAAAATTTCTTTGATCTCTGACTATGCATATGAGCCTTTTGGCAGAGTTACTCTTGTTCTAAATTTGAGTTGGGTTGTGTTTGCTAGCTGCTAGCAAGTTCTGTCTATGTCACAACAATGTCCTCTTTCCTTCTAATATATCTTGGGAATGTTAAAGATATGAAACAACTCTGACTGTAACCACTTGGAAGAAAACTCTCATCACTGGTAAGGTACATTCAGTGAGGTTGATTCCAAGAGCGTGCAATGGGGAGGCAGACAATCTAGCTAAGAGTGGGATAGGTTGAGTGTTAGGAGTCAACTATGGTTCTCTGGTCTACTGTGAAGGCTTTTATGGCAGGGGGTGTTTTTAAGTTTTATGTACTGTAAAGGCTTTTATGGCAGGGGATGTTTTTAAGTTTTATGTACTGTTATTGGTGTAATGGTTGTATCTTATGTAGCTTTTTCATTATTAATAAAATTCAAGGCACTCTTTTCCTCCTTCCGCTGATTAAGGAGCTTATTATCAAGCTCCTTAATCAAGAAGGGGGTTTTTAACGAGGCTTTCCATTCCTATCAAAAAAAAAGAAGAAATTATTTAATCTTTAACATGGCAAGGTTTACTGCCTACTTAGCCTGGTAGGATTTCTTGATGTATGAATTGGTCTGTTTCTCTAGTTGCCTTTCGAGGTAAGCAATAGCCTTTGTTCTAGGTAGATTATCAAGTCGGCAATGAGCTGTATGCAAGCTTTTAGTAGCACAAGTATAGGTTAGCAATTTTAGTCACATGGTCATACTTCTGGTCATAATATGTTGAAGCTGATTTTCAAAGGGATTGCTTTTGGATTCAAATTTACTTATATTTGCTTGAAAACAGGTCAGGAGAATAATGGAAGGGAATCACAGGATGGGAATGGTAGGCTCTTTTTCTTTTGGTTCTTTCTTCTTCCTTTTGCGAGGCATGTTGAATGGCCAGTAGTTCCTCTCTTTTTTTTCTTCCTTCTGTTTTTATTTCTTTTGTAAATTATATTTGTAGGCCATCCGTGATCCTGATACAGATTCAATTGCTGATTTTGCTTGTGAAGTGGAGATCACAGAGTAGGTGTTTGAGACTTTTTATTTTTTAATGCAATTCCTTTGCTACTTTGTTTACGTTTGTGAATATTTTCTTTTTTTAATCTCATCTTTGGCACTTGATCTAAATATGTAGGTGTGAACCTCTTCCTGATGGACGCTTTGTTCTGGAGGTGAAACTTTTCAACTTGCATTTTTCTTTGATGTAATGACATTTTTTTTTCTGTATCATGTACACATTTAACTTTATATTTATCTACATTCCTCCATCTCAAAATCTCGATCACCTTCATAAGGAATGAGTTTTAAAAATAAAAAAGTTGTCAATAGATAAGATATTAATTTTAGCTTGGTTATAGATGGGGTTTTAATTTTAGCTTAACTTTTCATTGTGGACAAATAATGATGTATTAGTTTTCATGCATCTAAAGGAGAGTATCACCTGAAATCAGATGACTTGGATGAGCACATTCATATGTTAACCTCTTACTAACTTTTGGTTCTGTTGATGTTTTTTTTAAGATAATCTCCTTTGTTTTTTTAATTCTTTTTTTTTTTTTTGCATGCTAACTGAATTTTTATCTTCTTTCTCTATGATAAAAATAGTTTCCTTTCTTTTAAAGCTTTCAACAATGCAATTTCCTTTCATTTAATGTGACAATGACCACAGCCAATTTAGCCATTGCACATTTGACAGGATTTAAGTAGGGAATCTTGAAATATGCTGAAAGTTTTGGAAAGCTGAGCTACAGTTTTTGTTTTCTCTAGATGCGAACTTCCGTAGCATGTACAACCCTCCCAAAAGGGTGAAAGCACTTTGATTGCTTCTGTTTGGAGGGTGCTTTGAAGAAGAAGCCGGTTAATATTTTAGTTTGACTCTTGATGGATATATTCACCTAGGAAATGCATGAAGTTTTTATATATTATACCTAGCTTTAGAAATTCATGTGAATCTAAATACTTTGTATTTTTCTTTTCCGCAGCTAGATGGTCATATCCTACAATTAGTGGACTTGTCTTCTAGAATTGAATTTTCATGTTTCCTAATGCATTGCCAGTATAGATTTAGGTATATCAGATCATGAAGCTCTTCTTTTAGTTATGAGAAATAGACACAAATTGTTTTTTTTTCTTCAGAAAATTGATCTAATAAAATAGATTTATCTTTCTGACTCTCAAGCTCATTTAGGTAATAGCTAAACCTGTAGGAAAGTAGTAACAGGCTCCTACAGAAAGCTTTTTGTTTTTGGTGAATGGATTGACAATTGTGTTCATGACAGAATAACTTCCTCCTCAATCTTTATTGTTCGATCTGAACTCTTGAGCAGTTTCTTTCTCTTGCATTATAGTTATTCATATTTAATTCTAGCTAAAATAAAAAGGGAAAAGAAGAAGCATCGTCATATTTATTTCAATTAAATGGCATGCAGATTGAAAGTCGCCGGAGATTTCATATTCTCAGATCTTGGGATCAAGATGGGTTAGTTTTCTCATCATTCGGTCATGTATATTGTATGCTTAGATTCACAATTTCCAGAATTCATACCAGTGTTGTCAAGGTGTGTGCTCAGGCGCACCTGCACCTTAGACCCTTTCAGGCCAATCCCATTTGATCAGGCTCACACCTAGTGAACCTACACATGCCTTTTTTGGAAGGCGATATGCATAAAAAATGGCTGCTTGATTGAATTTTTCTTGAAGTTCTTTTATTTTTCACATTTCTCTTTAATTTCTTTAATTTTTTTTTCATTTGATATATCTTCACTACTAAGAAAAGGATGATATCAACTCTATACTTCGTAATATTTAACATTCAACAACAAACATTGGTCGCAAGGAAATCATGCATATCAACTAGTAAAAAAAATGCATGTTTTGTAGATAAACTAGACTCCACTTTAGAGTTTATTATATATCTTAAGCTTTATATATATATATAACAAAAAACTTGCAAATATACATATTGTGCTTTACTTAACTAGCGCTTTGCGCTTGAGGCAATATAAGGGTTTTAAGTGCCAAGATTGTGCCCTGCACCCTTGACAACATTGTTTCATGTTGACATGAATTTGTTGTGGAATATCATACTTCTGTTATGTTTAACGCAGATACCTAATGGCGGAGGTTGAGTGGGTACAAGACATACCACCAAGAGATGCGATAGATACAGAAGATGTACGACTGTCTCTATTCTTGTTTCCCACCCATATTATCTTTCCTTTTAATTTCTGAAATAATAAAACGAAGTAAGATATATTAAATTACTGAAACAATATACTGCAAGGAGGTGGGATTTGCCTCTTTTCTGTTTGCTCTTTTTACTTGAAGGAAGCATCTTGGGAAGAATATTAGCCAGTTTTACCTCCAAAGGCATGTAGGTTTGTATCTAATAGTGCTTTGTATGTAAGGTAGCAGAGCAGTTTAATTGTTCATCATCTTCTTTTAGTAGCTTCATGGGTGAGACAGTTTTGGTCTTGGATTCTTGGTTTATTCTGGTTGGGCGCCTCATGGATAGTTGCGGGTTGGGGCCTGGAATGGCGGTGATTATACATATAGAAGCAGAGTGATAGATATAATATCAATTTGTTCTTTTCATCTCTCATTCAACAGCTATATTGCTCCGATTCTTCATGTTTTCTTAAGTTCTCACATTCAACATCTATGCCAAACATATATTCAGACATATGAACAATCATATAACCATTCAAGTATTTAGAAGAAAAAAAAAAGAAAAAACTTGAAAAAATCAAATATACTTATGTTGGACACATCTGTAATCTATGCCTACACTTGAATTCGAGTAACATAGGACATCTGGAGGGTGATAGATAGAGTCTTGCTTCACAAAGCTTTTGTGATGCAAGGTTTCACAAACATGGGTAGACTTAACCAATCTGTCGAGTAATCATTTCTTTAAATTCAATGTTGATGGGGCGGTGAGAGGGGATGGGCTGTAGGGAGGAATTGGAGGAGTTTTGAAAGATTCCAATTGCTCTATTTTAGCCTCTTTCTCTATGGCTGTGGGACCAGGCCCTCCTATGTTAGCTGAGTTAAAAGCTATTAAGTAGAGAATTGATGTATTTCTTTCATCGGAGTGGGCAACGAAGGGAAGACTTATCCTCGAGAATGATTGCAGGAAAGCAGCGGATTGGATCTTGATACCTATTTCTGCCCCAACGTTTTGTAGCTCTTTGGTTGAGGAAATTGGGGCCTATGTATCTGTTAGGGGTTTTATTATTAATTGGATTCCAAGGAGTTGTAATTGGGAAGCAGACAAGTTAGCAAAAGAGGGGACTGGTTGAGGTGTTGTGTTCTGTTGTTGTAGTGTTATGTATTTTATCTAGGGAAGTTTATTATGTAAGTTGTATCTTATGTAATTATGGGTTATTAATAAAATGAGGTACTCTTTTCCTCCTTCCGCTAGTTGCCTCTTTTACAAGAGCCAACTAAGAGGGAGATTTTTAATGAGGCCTCCTATTCCTATCAAAAAAAAAAAAATAACTTCTTGATGCATTTACTACTTTTGCTCTTTCTTCAAAAGAAGAAACGTTTATATATTTTTCTTCACGTTGATTTGTTATTATTAGTATTATAATGCTTTCATGTCATTTTACAGAAACCCGCCCCATGGTATTCAAGTTAGCTTTTACGTTTTAAACTTACATATAATATTCAGTAATGTTCTTTGATTCTTGCAGTTGCAGGAGCTGACAAATAATGCAGCAGCACATGCTCGGTCATGGTTAAGTACAACAAAAGCAGCAACACGAGGTAAAACGCTTGTTGTAGCATTCTTTGGAAATTAAAAATCTGCACTCAATTAAGCTAGACTAGTGTTACTTTCTCCACCATTTTCTCAAAGCAACTGATGTTATTGTTACTTTATTAAGATGAGCAATTATTTTTGTCAAAATTAAGGTTTAAGTATTTTCTGGTTATGTTTGTAGCCAACGTTGGCTATGAAGATGTTATGGTTAAAAGACATTTCTTTACTATTGCTGGGACTTGATTTGAATGACATTTGCACAGATAGAAGAAAGCTTGAGGCCCTCTATAATGTCGAAGCAATGATGCCAAATCCACATGATCCCGAGCGCTTTAGTTTCTGGGTACAGTTAACTTTTTCGCCCATTTGTAGCTTATTTTTTTGTTCAAATTATAGTTTTGGTCCCTTTTCTATGTTTAATTTGACATTTAGTCTCTATACATTGATTTAGAATAATTTCATCATACTTTTATTATCTTATCATGTTGATATGGATTTTTTTTTTGGTATTTTGAAGAAAAATCCAAGTTAACATTTTAACCGGAATAGATTTGGACTCAGCAATGACATTATAAAAGTAGAGGGATCAAATTATAGCAGATTAAAGTAGAATGAGTAAATTTCAAATTTAAACATAACTAAAACATAATTTGGGTATTTTCAGTTAAAATTTAATGTGACGGCTAACATATGCTTGTGGTGCAGCTTGCTACTCTGTCGAATCGGAGGCCTGCGGAGAGATTGGAACTCCTGCGAATCAGAGACACATCAGAGGTAATGATTTTCAAGTTTTGGGGTGGTAAAACCCGATTTGCTTTACTATTTTTTTATATTTTTTATTGAGAGTGGAGTGAAGCGAAGCAATTTTGGTTAATGCTTGTTACGCTTCAATCTATCCCGTATTTATAATATTATCCATGTGCACTACAACCAAACATCTACTGGTGCTGATTGAATAGCCGGTGAAAAGAAAAGAAAAACAATTAAAATTTCGTAAATTAGATTTTTTTATATCATATTAGTTTTTAAGCTTTTAATAGAAAATTAGAATATTTCATTAGATTTTGGTTCATTTTCATCATGATTTTGTTTATTAAGATTTTCAAATTGTATCTTTGGAGGCTGTATAGGATTGAAGAAAGCATATGGTTTCAGAAATCAAGGGCGAGATGGATTAAGGATGGGGACAGAAATACTAGATTTTTTCATTTGTCTGCACTAAACAGAAGTAAAAGAAATGAAATCACAAGTTTGAACTTCAATGGTTATGTGGTCTCAGATCCGAAAGTGATTAAGTTGCATATTGCAGAGTTTTTTAAGAAAGCGTATAATTTCAAGTCAACAATGGAAGTAGAAGATTTATCTCTGGATTTTGCAAAGCTAACAGGGGATCAATCTAAGAAACTAGAGGAGCAGTTCTTAGAACAGGAAATATGGCAAGCAATAGCCTCATCGGACAGTTCTAAAGCACCAGGTCCGGATGGCTTTACAATGGGTTTTTACAAGAAATGTTGGCCTAGTTTAAAGGAGCATGTAATGAAGTTTTTTCAGGATTTTTACTTGGGCAGGAAATGGGAACATGGGGTTAATCATGCGTTTATCACACTTATTCCGAAGAAGATTAATCCGAAAAGCGTGGAGGATTTTAGACCTATCAGCCTTGTAGGCAGTCTCTACAAGATCCTCTCTAAAGTTTTATCTAAGAGATTGAGCTGTTGTGTTGGAGATATAATCAGTCAGTCCCAGTTTGCTTTTGTACTGGGGAGACAACTGTTGGATTATGCTTTTATTGCGAATGAAGGAATCAATTATAGGAGAAAACAAGGGTTGCAAGTGGTTGTTCTAAAGGCTGATTATTGTAGAGCTTACGATTCAGTGGAATGGCCAATTTTATTTAGAGCAATGGCAGAGATGGGTTTTGGGAATAGATGGTCCTCGAGGATTTCTCAGTGCCTTTTAACAGCTTCCATCTCGATACTCGTTAATGGGTCTCCTTCAGAAGAGTTTCATATGGCCAACGGTCTTAGACAAGGGTGTAGTCTCTCTCTCCTATTTAACATCGTAGGTGAGATGCTTCACTTGATGATTTCTAAAGCAGTCGACAGGGGTTTGTTCCAAGGCTTTGTTATTGGGAAATCGAAAAATTCTACTAGGTTGTCTCACTTGCAGCTTGTCGATGACTTAATCATTTTTTGTCAAGCCTCTCTAACTCAGATCAAGAATGTGAAAAGAGTGTTGAGGATTTTTAGTATTATGGCAGGTTTGCATCTAAATTTGGAGAAGAGCAAGCTGTTTGGAATTAATATGGAGCAGGATGTACTAAAAGATCGGGCAGTCCAAGTGGGTTGTTCAGTTGGTTCTTTTCCAACAGAATATTTGGGTCTTCTACTGGGTGCTAAGAAAAATTCAGAGGCTTTATGGGATCCTGTATTTAAGAACTTCAGTTCCAAATTTGCTGGGTGGAAAGCGTCTTGTTTGTCTTTGGCTGGAAGGACAGTATTATTGAAGTCGGTATTAACTTCCTTACCAATTTTTTTCTTATCGCTGTTTAAAATGCCTTGTAAAATTGGTAAGAAGTTAAATTCCTTATTAGCTAATTTTCTATGGGGAGATAAGGAGGAAAAGAGGAAGATTCATTGGGTGAAATGGAGCACGGTTTGTAGGCCATTGAACTGTGGAGGTCTGGGTGTACTAGATTTGAACCTCACTAATCGGGCTCTTCTGGGTAAGTGGGTGTGGAAATTTGCCAATGATAGAAATTCCTTATGGAAAGGTGTGTTGTGTAGCAAACACAAGGTAAGTTGCAATACAATGTCCGTTAGGGAGGTTACTTCTCCGCAATCTTCTTGGATTTGGTTAGCAAATAATTTTTTGAAGAATGATTCGGAAGGTGACTGTCTTAGATCAAATGCGAAGTTGCAAGTGAGAAATGGAACATCTATTTCTTTTTGGAATGATGTATGGGCAGATGATGTTCCACTAAAGATTTTGTTTCCTAGAATTTACGTGGTTTCCCCTATTAAAGGGGGGAAGGTTGTAGATTTTGGTAGCGTGGAACCGAGTGGTTGGGTGTGGAATGTTGAAACAATAAGGAATTTGTGCGATTGGGAGTTGAATCAGTGGATGGATTTGATGTCTAAGCTGAAGGATATTCAACTGTCAGAGTTGGTGGAAGATTTCCTATCTTGGTCTGCAAGTGGGGATGAATTGTTTTCGGTTAAATCTTGCAGAAATACTTTAGGTAATGTGTTTGGGGGTAGTGTGCCGTGGTGTAAAGGGGTATGGCTGGGATTTGCTCCACCTAGAGTGGAAGCTTTCCTGTGGTAGCTTGCTCATCAGAAAGTGGCAGTTAAAACTGAGTTGGTTAAGAGAGGATTATCTCTAGGGGATGATATCCTGTGTCCTTTTTGTAAGATACAGGAGGAATCAGTGCAGCATTTATTCATTTCTTGTCAAGTTGTTTGGGAATTATGGAACAAAATAGTTAATTTCTAGGACTTATCATTCGTTATACCCAAAGACCCTCCTTCTCTACTTTGTTCCTGGGGTGAGTTGAGTGAGAACTCAATGATTTGGAAGTTCATTCCGGGTGTCATTTTTTGGTCGATTTGGAAAGTTAGGAATGCAATGGTTTTTAATTGATCTTCTCTTGATAGACTGTCTCTATTCTTCATTGTCAGATTCAGGCTGTCTAAATGGTTCCTAGCCAAGTTCCCTAAGATATCGATACAGGAGGATGTGCTGATTGGTAATCCATGTCTAGCATATGGGTTTTCTCTATCAAAATACAATGGATTCCCCCCAGTAGATTTTCTTAAGATGAATGTTGATGGAGCTGTTCGGAGTGATGGCTTGGGTGGTGGGATTGGAGGTATTTTAAGAGATTGGAATTGTTGCACCATTTGACTTTTTCAGAGAATGTTGCTCAAGGAAATCCTCCACTTATGGAGTTAAAGGCTATTAAAAGAGGCATTGAATTATTTTTATCATCACGTTGGGAAGCTGTTGGTAGGTTGATTGTCGAGACTGATTGTAAATCTGCAGTAGAATGGATTCAGGCCCCGGCTTTAGCTCATGTTTTCTTAATGTCTATAGTCTATCAGATTTCGACTCTTATCACTGGTAAGGTACATTCAGTGAGGTGGATCCCAAGAGCGTGCAATGGGGAGGCAGACAATCTAGCTAAGAGTGGGATAGGTTGATTGCAAGGAGTCAACCATGGTTTTCCAATCTACTGTGAAGGTTTTTAGGGCAGGGGTTCTTTTAAGTCTTAGGTATTGTAAAGGCTTTTATGCCAGGGGATGTTTTTAAGTTTTATGTACTGTCATTGGTGTAATGGTTGTATCTTATGTAATTTTTCCATTATTAATAAAATTCAAGGCATTCTTTTCCTCCTTCCGCTGGTTAAGGAGCTTATTATCAAGCTCCTTAATCAAGAAGGGGGTTTTTAACGAGGCCTTACATTCCTATCAAAAAAAAAAAATTGGTTGAACTACTACTAGAGATATGTAAAATCGATTTGATATATGATTGAGCTTGTTGGTAACACAATTTGGTTAAGAGAGTGAAATTATGTCATGTATTAATCACTAGTTTTGTTTTAATTTTTGCAGAGGATAAGACGGGGACTAATATACCTCGGAGCAGAAGCACCCGGTTGTAGTGTACAATAAATGAGGTGTATAATTTTCATATTTCCTACAATATTAATTTAATATTCCATTCAATATTCTTTGGGACACCAAAGTAAAAGACGGTGTATATTTTTGTTGTAAAATCAGTCCTATATATTTTGAACCCAATCTCGTTATTATTAGTATTATACTGTCCTCAAAACTTTTGATGCTATATAGTGAAGTTTTGATACTTGTTTCAGTGCTTTAGATTTTTAAAAAGTTTCAATACTTTGCTTGAAAATATTGATACCCACATAAGAGTATCGTCTTAAAGTTGACATCCATTTAGCATTTTCCATGGATATGATTAGAATGATAATGTCCTAAAGCATGAGATAGATTGTAAAATGAGTTTAATAGTTGATAATGAGAGTGTTATTGAAATAAAAAAAGTTTGTAATTTAGTCTTTACATGTTTAATTGATGCTGTAATCGTGTCTAAGATAATAGTTGTTACTTGAATGTAGTATTTTTCTGCTCAACATAATGTTTGATCTGGGTAAAGGATGTTACATTTTACACTTTTTATCTGCAACTTTCAGTTCACTATATGAAAACCCTTTAGAAGATCTTCAGTAGCAGTAAATAATTGAATAGTTGTTTGGGATTAACAGTGACCAAATTAGATTAGAGTATAAGGACTGTTTATACATAACACAGGGATTAATAAAAGGATTTGAACAACTGGGAACGTGCAATTAGGGGTGCACAAAAAATCCGAATATCCGAAAAAAATATCCGAAACCGGTTTTGGGAAAAACCGGTTTTTTTTAACCGGATCGGATTTTTTTAAACCGGTTATTTTAACCGGTTTGGAGAAAAAACCCAGACCGGTTTTTTAACCGGTTAAAAAACCGGTTTTTATCCGAAAAAAAAACCGGTCTGGGTTTAAAAAACTAGCCGTTAATATAGCCGTTTGTGACCGTTTGTGACCGTTTTTTTCTTTAAAAAATTACTATTTTACCATCCTAAACATGTATAAATAGGTTGGGGATGTATTTGGTTGATTACAACTTTCTCAAATCTTATTACACAACCCTTAAACATCTCTCAAATCTTAGTTTTGTAATTTTTTATTCATCATGAGTAACACTGCTGAATCTTCCGTCGGGGGAAACCTTGAAGTCGTGAGAGTGATCGAACACACTCGAAACAAAGATATTTGGGATCACTACGATTTATGTGAGATGTCAAATGGCTCGAGGAGGGCGCGTTGTAAACTTTGTCTAAAGTTTCTTGCATCAGAAGGAAACACAACGTTGAAGAACCATTTGACAAAATCATGCAAGACACTTCGCTCAAGATCGGATCCTAGTCAATCGAATCTTACACCGCAAGGTGGTGTTTTTGTTTACGACAACGAAAAATTACGAGAAGCGTTTACAAAGTTCGTGATTACAAAAACATTGCCGTTCGACCACTTTGATGATGAAGATTTCACGACAACAATTCAACAACTAATGCAACCACGTTATACTCAAGTAAGTCGTACTACCCTTAGAAGAGATGCTATAAAAATGTGGCGTACGGCGAGGGAAAAAATGATTTTAGGATTCCAAGAACACCGTTATGGTGTGTCGCTTACATGTGACGTTTGGAGTTCCCCTCATAATACCGGAAATTCTTTTTTAGCCGTTACGTCACATTGGTTAGATCAAGATAATTGGCAAATGATGAAAAGAACAATCGCGTTTGAATTATTCGGTGAGCCGCATACCGGTGCTAATTTATTTACACTTTTAAACGGGTAATTTGTCTTATAAATTAGAAAATAAAGTTTTTCTATATCCTTTATAATGCATCGAATAATACAAACGCGGTTCCAAGATTGAAAATATTACTTTCACCGATTTTAGACGGTGCGTTTTTTCATACCCGTTGCGTTGCACACATAATTAATTTATCCGTGCAAGCCGGTTTGGAGGTTATTGAGCCAATTAGATTAGAATTTAAAACAATGATAAAATCGATTCTTTGTAACAACAACAAAAGACTAAATGATTATAAACGATTTGTAAGTCTGTTAATAAAAAAAGCTTTGGGTCCTAATTTGGATTGTCCAACTCGTTGGAACTCAACTTGGATGATGATGCATACTGCCTTAAGGCAAAGGGAAACATTGCAAACATTTCACGATCGGCTTTTCGAGAGGGGTCATGTCCCAGACATTTATCCGGATTCGAGTTGGGAAACTATAGCCAAAATAACCGATTTGCTTGAGGTTTTTAAAATGCAACAACTTTTTTATCCGGTGTTTATTACCCTACTAGCCTGTTGGTTCTTAATCAAATATTTTTGTTGGCTACCCGACTAAATGACTTTGAATTTGAAACCGAAGTTTTTCAAGAAATTGGCTTTGCAATGAAGGAAAAACTTTTAAATATTTTAAGGAGATTCCCCCATTTTTACTTGTGCCGCCGCTTTAAACCCAACGTTAAATGTTGGTGGGGTTGAAACACTAATTGAACAAATTGCGTTTGCTTTTAATCTAACCGATGATGAACCCAACTTTGTCCAAAACCAAATAAATTATTTTAACAAATGTTTTCGAGACATGTTTGCAATTTATTTAACTAAATACAGATCAAGTAGTGTAATACACGATCAAATGAGAATGAATGCGGAATCATCTAGTAGACGTCCAAGTAACATAAATTTGAATCTTTTTAACACTCTTGTAAATTCCCAATCCAAACGATCACGTACTCACCCCAAGTAGCGAGTTGGGAAATTACATGTCATGCGATTTTCTATCAAAAATGACATTTGAAGAGTTTGAAAGTTTGGATATTTTGGCTTGGTGGAAAGAAAAGGAAGCACAATTTCCGATTCTAGCCGCCATGGCCCGTGATTTACTAACCGTCCAAGCTTCTACGGTAGCTTCGGAATCCGCTTTTTGTTAGTGGCAGGGTTATATCACAACGGAGATCAAGACTAAGTCCCGAGTCGGTGGAAGTATGCATTTGTTAAAGGATTATTTGGATGGAGCGGCTCGTAAGCAACATATCACCACCCTAGAAGATGCAAT